TACGAAAATTAATATCAAATCCTAAAATTAAATACGATAATTTTGAAAAGGTGATGAGGAAAACAACTCTGCTTTAAAATAATGTCAGACTAGGGATTTTGTTTTTCCAGTTTTTTAGGACAACCTATTGTTTAATTGTTTACAAAAATTCGATAATGAAAAGAAGGTAATCCTTAGATCAGGCACTCACTTATTATCCTTTCTTTCATGGAAATGTTATATTCTGAGCAATTGCCGTTTGCACGAGAGTGATTTTTTAGTATTAGAATAACTTGAAAATTTTTTATCGGATTGATTTCAAAATATTAGAGAATATTTTTCAGATGTTATATATTAAAAAAAAATATAAAAAGTATATCGATTTTTTCAAAAAATTCCGTCTACTCCCAATCACTTAAGTCGTATTAATATGAAAATACTTTTGTATTGTTTTTTCATTTATTAATACATTTTTGTTTAAAAAATTCATCAAAACTTGTTTCACAGTAAATTATAGATAATTTATGTGGACTATAAGGAATAATAAAATTAAAAAAAAGGAAATTTTTATTATTAGTTTTTTTTGTGTAATTTTTAACTATATGTATGTTTTATCTTCTATTTATTATTTGTTAGTAAATCAATTAAAGGGAAACGGTGAATATATTTACTAATATAAATCTGCCTACGACTCTTTTTAATATTCACCAAAAACCTGGCTCAAGTGTTCTACATCATTCTTTTCCGGCGTTATAATTTTCGATATTTCTACCATTAACGCCAGTAAACGAAGCTGTAGAGAAGTATAGCAGGTATTCCATCGATTGAAGATATGAGATTCCGATTTAAATACATTACTGTAATGTAGACAGCTCCATTAGCCATTAGGACAAATTATATTATATTATTTTTTCAAAAATATTTTTATTTGAAAAATTTATACGAATGTATGTAATGTATGTAATAGTCAAAATTTTGTACATATTCAGATGAGTATCAAATGATATTTTACAGAATATAAACATTAATTATTTAATTCGATTTCTTATTCACCAACGAAAAATTGCCCGCGACTTTCTCCGAAAGAAATTTAAAAGTGTGTTTTAAAGAGAATTTTACTATTTTACCTATTTGATTATGGCACACAATATATATTGTCAAAACGTATGATTAAATAATTTCTCCATACATTGACCAAGGCAAGGAGTCATTTATGCTTCAAATATCAAGTAAAACTTGACCATCGAATCGAATCGAATTTCAGGTCCGCTATCCTAACGAAAAAGTATTTCCGTTATTAATTTTGGCAAAAAGCTATCAAATTTTTCATGACAATTCGAATACAATTTTTTCGAATAGATCGATTTCAAGTCCATTCCCGGGCAGATAAAGTATTCACTATATTAAATTAGGCCCAATGTTACTAAATCAAACGATGTAAAAATAAACCCGACTTTTTCGAATAGAGCGGCCCCAGGTGCGCTTTACCGAAAATCATTTCTTATGCGATGCATACACACACTTCAAGTTTTGGGTTCCTACCATCAGTGGTTTAGGCTGGGGGTTGATCCATCAGCCATTTAGTACAAAGCATTTTAAATATGTGTATGTACGTACATGGATGAGGTCAATATTCACTATCCTTTTCATCATTCTGTTATATTACAACTGTTCAACAGCAGAAATTGCATAACCACGGAAACAAAACTATTATACGCGTTTGAATTTCTCAAGGTTTAAGAATTAAGAAATTTAAGTCATCGATTGAAGATCCTGTAGCCTTTCTTCGCGAAGTAACCAAAGCACTCGTCTGCCGAATGCTGAACACTCACTGATTACGTGCTCCGCTGACTCCACACAATCCTTGCATTTCCTACATTTATTGTCCCCAGTCAGAACAATATTAAACCAATGAGGCGACAAAAGTCAATATTAGCAACCTGGACTCCGTCCTTTTTATAAATATCACAAACTTTGAAAGCTTAGTGTCATACATTTTGTACTTAGGTGATTGTGCAGCCCTTAGCTTGTTCCCAGAGTCTATTCGCCTGACGAAGTAGTATTACTTCTTGCTTTTGCTTCACTACCCTGAATGTAGCTGGCTGATTCATTAATACGTCCTGTTTTAAATATATACCCTCCTTAGCCAGTTCGTCAACTATCTTCTAACCTTCAATGGCGGTGCATTAGGTCAGTGTAAACTCCGGTTTTTAGACAGTATTTAAATCGGCTCTGCTATTATGTCCGCTTGGAAATCTTCATAGATGTGGATACCTTTCTTTTGAAACCCAGCACTTTAAAATGGCTCTGCCACTAAGGAGCCACTAATAAAAATGGCTACCGATTTTTAATCTTCCACAGTTACATTTTCCCATAGTGAACTTTTCTGATATCCTTACTGAACATTAAATAATTTTTACAGCTGTGATGACCCCACAATTTAAGCTGCATATATAGAAAGATCTTTTGTATATTTTAATACCTCTAAACTCAGCATAAGAGCCACTGCAGCGATGGATCTTTAACGAAAATTTTTTTCAAAGCTTTATGAAATAGTCACAACTCTTTCATCCAACACTGTTTATGCTCTGAAACACTCACTCGCGCCACAGTGTGTTTGTCACCTCCAATCACACACAAATCACATTACCATTTTATTCGCCGCACTTGTGAACTTCCTCGATTTATGTCACTCTTTAGAACGCTACCGCAATTTATTTCTTTTGCAACGCACTCCCCACTGCCCCACAATAACCAGGAAACACATTTGCCAAGTAGAGCACACATGCAAATTTGTTTATGCCGCCGCATTGGAAAGGCTCCCAACTTCAACTCTGACTTTTAGAAAAAAAAAAACAGTCCGCAGCAAAGCCGTCATAAATTGCGGTGATGCAGACAAAACTGTTCCACCTTCGCGAATCGCTGGAAAAACGGCACTCTAATGCATATGTACTTTTGTACATACTCATATACATAAATATACTACTCTGTACAAAAGCCAGCAGCGGCTCACATGAAAGTGCAATACCAAAAACATGCCGAATGCGCGAGCTTGTGTTGTACCACACAGCTTTGGCGCTGTTGCGCTCGGGTGCGGTATCGATAGTACAGTACTCAGTACTCGTATGTCTCTGCAACCCATAATCAGCCCCCGAGGCAGGCGGCGTTGACTTGCAATGCCAGTGCAGCTGTTTGCACCTTCACCACTCGCAAGCAAATAAACACGAAATAAATGAATAAAACCACAATTGAATTTATTTTTCGACTGTGCGATTTTAAAAACTTAATTCCTACGTGGTGTGAGAATGAGAGACTAGATTGAGTCTGAAAACACGCAATAAAGTCTGGCGAGGAACATTCCGCGTTGGAGTGAGTTCAATTGAGTGAGAAACGGTAGTAGTGCTATGAAAAACAGTTAGTTTGTCAAATTAACTGCAAATGTGCTGTCAACTGTCGTTAGTGGTTGTAGTCGTACTATGACAGTCGGTTGTTGGAGAAAAACTTTTAGCCTAATGACTCTTTTTCGCCAGGAACCAGACGATCCAAAAAAAAATGGGGTTATGCAGTTTGTCAGCGAAGGTATGAAACTCGCACCAAAAGAGGAGCTTTAAATTGATAAATTTTGTAATTATTATGATTTAAGTGGAAGTCGTTTTTGTTATTGTGCCAGGAACATTTTTTTTTTTTTATAAAATCTTTCCATACGGGCGTAGACACTTCATGTGCGTTTACAGCCGACTGAAGGATAGCATGCTAGTCGTTTCCTTTTAACCATTGAAGTCAACAAGTGAAGCTGAATCCTTCTCCACATAAACAAATTGGAGGTATTGATTGCTCTTTCTATGCTTCCAAGAGCGTGTACCCCACCGAATAGTTGGCTGGAACAAGCTCATAATCTAACCTACTACATCACTCTCCCTTTATTCGATTTACTATATCAAAATCGCCGTAAGTACCATACTGTTCATGACTCGGTCATCTACGGTGATCCCTATCGCTACTAAACATAGGTTCATAAATCGTTCGCAAAACCTCCTCTTCGAAAATTCGTAGATCCGACTAATCGAAAGTTGGCATAGTCCACGCTTCTGAACTTTTTAACAGAACCACCTGTAAAGTTGTACTTTTGTTTGTCGCGAGGGGACTTTACTTTCAGAGATTTTCTCAGTATAAAGCAGCACCTTTTGAAAGGAACGAATCTGATCTAGTTTTCCAGGTCAGTATTGTTGCTGGAATTGACGCAAATTATGTGCGATTTTAGAGTTAAGGCTGTCAGAAGTGACGTTGGAGCCAAAATGTAATGCGCTGGCTGCATTGAAATCGACGAATGAGTAGTATCGAACTTCTTCTCAAGTATGTACGCTTCTTTTCTCAAGGGACTTTTCAAAAATTGGAGAACAGGGAACATAGGGTTAATAGTGAATCTATCAGGTCTGAAGCTATACAGATAAGGTCCGATCAGTTCGTTGATGGTAGGCCATAATCTTTCACACAAGACACCCGATAGAGCCTTATATGCGATATTGACGAGACATTTTCAAAGTGCAAAATTTGTGGTCACACTTTTGTGGATTGGGCAGGGAAAACAAGTTCCAATCGTCAGGCTTGCACCAGTCAAACTAAGAAGCTGATGCGTGCACTTTGTTTACACTTTGCCACCAATTATGTGTAGCTCAGTTGGTAGACTATCGGCTCTCGTCACTTATTGCTTCTTCAGACAGTCGTATTCGGTCGTTTGGGAAATTGGGCTCTCCTTCTTAGTATATTTTGCTTTCAAGGCAACCAGGAATGGTGGAGAAGTGTTCTCACGTTAAACTCTAGCATGCTCTGAACATCTATCTCTGAACTATTTACATACTAAGTACCTTTAGGAACTTACAACCTCAATGTTATATAAAAAAAATCGACAGAGTTATCCCAAAGTTATGTATAAAAAGCAAGGCATATTGTGTCTATAATATTTTCAGCTTTATATAAGTATAGACCTTTTTCTAATTAATCGTTTTTTCATTGCCTTTCAGTGTTTGGCTTGGACTCACCACTCGGTCTCTTTCCGCCCGGCATTGACCCTGGCAAGCTTTATAATCCACTAATGGAAATGTCCGATCCGCGTGGCATGCCGAGCGATCATCCACCGCCCTTTCTCAAAGGCAAAAAGAGTAAGTAAAACAAATGTAAATTATTTAAATAATAAAAACAAACAATCACAATTTAAATTTAAAAAATATGTTTGTAAGTAAATAAGAAATAGCAACAACTAATTAACCTCGCAATTGAACCTGAAATACGACGAACACTCAATACGCTCCAATTATTTTCCAAAAGAAAAAGGCGAACACACTGTTTCATCTTATTTTCTTTTATTAACATTATTTTCATAAAATAAAATAAAATAAAATAAAAAATAAATAAAATTAGTATAACGTGTGGGTCATTACACCAACGTACAAACAGTTAATGAAAATAAAAACAATTTGTAGAAAAAGTCAATTTTCACACTTGAGTAGCGCCTGCTAACGGTATTGCCCTTTTGCCACTGCATGCTTACACATTTTGCGCATGCGCACCCACTTAACTGCATTGATCTTGTACACACTTTGGCGCACGTACTTGCTCGTTGCGCTACCGGTGATTGGTGATTATCGGACGTACTAGCATCTGGGTGAGACCAAGCGCAATGCCATTCTCTCCAACTTAAATATGTTTTTTCTTTCGTGTATTTTAATGAATTCAATTGCTTTTGCTTTAAAGATGGTTTGAATTTTATTGTTTTTCCCGTGGTGATCGGTGATCGATGGCATTCACCCTTTCTTCAGCGATTAAAATTTATTGTTTGAAACGCTACAAGTGAAGTGTAGGAAACATAAGTGAAAGCTTTTCAAAATTGGTAATGTAGCTTGAGAGCTTTCACTGAACTTGATAGACAAATGTGTTTAAATGAAAATCATTTGAGTTGATAATAGAAACAGTAGTTTTAATTTGCGGCTGATTAAATTTCTTTTATTAAAATGTAATTTAATCATCATGTTAATCGATGCTCAAAATTTTTCAAATACATTTTTTTAACAAAAATTATAAATATAAATATAAATAATCATAATAGAATTATAAAAATTATACTGTTTCGTGTATTTTAATTTTTTCTAAAGCCGACGAAAATTGCAAAATAAAAACAACATAAATTAAGCATCTTGCTAATGAGCATTTTTTCTTTGGAAACGAAAGGATGATACGTCCTTCAGTGCTTCCAACGGCTCTACTCATTCGTCGTAGACTGCTATTTGTCGAATATCATTAATATTAGAGCAGACAAATGTTTCAGGGGGTGAAATACGGTGGCATAGTCTCGCTATTACAAACGTTCAATGACGAGCTTCTCGCAACCGAGACAAAGCTCTGACATTCAGTCGAACTTGGCGTACTTTTGTGTCTTGGATCTACTCAGCTTTTCAATTATTATTAATCATGGTCTTTCAGTAGTTCATGAAGCTTTCCAGATAGTCTTTTAGACGATTAGAATTCATTTCAGCTTAATTTTGGGAGCTTTCAACGCTGAAGCGACTGTTTCTCTTATACCACTTACTTGACTATAAACTAGTTCTTTGGAAACCAAACGAAGCTTTCTAAAGGAAAGTCCTTTCCAGTTGATCTTACCAAAACATTTCTTTTTTACCCGCTTCTGCTCGCGGCTGAAATTAAGTAATTATAGGATTTTGAATTTTGCTTGTTCAGAGAAGTAAGAATAATTTTTCGATGCTAAAAAGTGAGTCTCAGGGATCGAATATGATGGAATGAAAATTAATTTTGTGACACATTCGGCTAAAAGCTTCATTCAATTCATAATTGGTTTTGCATGACTTTAATAGTAGAGGCCTAAATTGCCTAGATACACGAGGTGGGACATTAAAGTTTACCTCAGATAAAAGCCATGAACTACAAGTTGATCGGTTAAGAAGTTACACTACGACCAGTGCGTCCAACATTTCTGTACGACTTGCGAGAGTAGGTATGTAGATTCAGAAGCTTCGAACGGTTGGTATAAGAAGGAAGATTTATGGTAGAGTCTCATCAGTAATGTCTTAATGCAAAAAGTAAAAATTGTTTTTGAACAGACTCTAGCTTATCGGAATGAACTTGATAATTGGAGTTTCATACCAGTGAATCATATATTGTAATATTGTATTCGCCAAAGTCGTATAAAGTGCTTTAGTTACCCGAGGGTATTTAACATTTTTTAACCATCTTTTGACAAAGGCAAAAGCTTTTTAGCTCTTAAAACTGGGGTATTGATATGAAGATGGGAGGGTCGATTATAACCTCAAAATCAACAAAGTTGTACATTTGGTCCAGACTACAGTTATTAATTATTTATGGAGAAGATTGAATAAGTTTTCGTTAAAAGCATATGGTCTTAAGCTTCTGAAGGTTCAAAGCCATGTCGTTGTTACCACACCAAATAGCTAAATTATCTAGAAATTCATTTAACACACCGAATCAACGCTTGTGATATGCACCTTAAACGCAATGAATTCGATCCGTTTTTAAAACGAATCATAATTGGAGATGAAAAATGGATTGTTTACAACAACGTTAGTCGAAAACGATCATGGTCCAAGCATGGTGAACCAGCTCAAACCACTTCAAAGGCTGATATCCACCAAAAGAAGGTTATGCTGTCTGTTTGGTGGGATTGGAAGGGTGTCGTATATTTTGAGCTGCTTCCAAGGAACCAAACGATTAATTCGGATGTTTACTGTCAACAATTGGACAAATTGAATACAGCCATCAAGGAGAAGCGACCAGAATTGGTCAATCGTAAAGGTGTCATATTCCACCAGGACAACGCTAGACCGCACACATCTTTGGTCACTCGCCAAAAACTGAGTGAGCTTGGCTGGAAACTTTTGATGCATCCACCATATAGCCCTGACCTTGCACCATCAGACTACCATTTATTTCGATCTTTGCAGAACTCTTTAAATGGTAAAACTTTCGGCAATGATGAGGCTATAAAATCGCACTTGGTTCAGTTTTTTTGCAGATAAAGGCCAGAAGTTCTATGAGCGTGAAATACTAAATTTGCCAGAAAGATGGCAAAAGGTTATCGAACAAAAGGCAATTATAAGTTTTATTACAAATGCATTTACTTTCTTTCAAAAAATCCGCAATTACTTTTTTGCAACCCAATAGATCGTTTTGTAATAAGCGTCTTTCGTCGAATGAGGTATATGTCATACAAAGTTTTAACATCAGTGGCATATAACAAGTATTTGTATGCTTTATTACGGAAGATATGTGCTCTTATAAAAGATTGGATGCTCTCTGTTTAGCTCTCTAGCTTAAATTATTTCTCCCAGCATTAAAGGGTTACATACATTTACGTAGGTCTTGAGGGCAAAAAAAAAGCTTATATTCTCTAATTTTTTTCAAACGGTTCTAAGCAAAGTATACAGTTTATTTTATTTATATATAAAAGTACAGTTTGTGGACAACATTTGATGAAAATTTGAATGAAAAATAGTATAAGTTAAGGCGTTGGCAGTGTCGTGAAGTAGACCGTCCACAAGAAAGCGTTTTCGCGGTAGTCATGATAACTTTTCAATTGTTATCTGAAATCGAAAATCCAATTTTTTCTTAAAGTAGGTGAATTTCCCTTGTCTCTGAATGAAGAAAAATTGAAAAAATTAAAAATTTAATCTTTTGTAGCGTTTTTTTTTACAAAAAACGTAGTTTTTTGCATAAAATATAAATAATTGAATAAAATAAAATAAGACCATATATTGGCTTATAACATGAGTTGAAATCAAAGGTGAAATAAATCCTTCTTTCAGGAGCTACAAAAACATGCTTTAAAGAGGCGTGGAAAATTTGAACTCGACCGCTTCAATAGTCGTTGAGAAATTTTGACTACCGAGTTCGATAAAGTAGTTTTAAGAAAAAATTTCTACAGTTTCGTCTCGATCGACTTGAAACTTGATGAAAATAATCCTGACACTTTGTACTTTTATACACAAAATTATCAAAAAAATGGATTTTTCCGAAACCATGATTAGTGTTGAATGACTGGCGGAGCTTTTTATGTTTTGCTAACTATCCGTTTAGAGAGTTGCATATATACTTAAGTTAATAAAATATAAAGTTAAATTTATTCATTTAGTTCTAAAAATTTGCAGGAATAATATTGTATTTCCCGAGCTCTTGCAGTGTTTGTGTCTCTGATTCTAGCACAAATGACATAACTGGCGCGCCCTTTCATGTTAGGAAATTAATTTTGTGGGCTCTCAATTAATTATTAATTTAGATTAATTTAATTTAATTTAATTAAATTTAATTAGATATTAAAACTGAATTACTTATTCAAAATCAGCTCAAGAATTTCTGTTCAGTAGCTAAACATTTTTAGTTCTGGGAATAATAAAAAAATAGTAATGAAAAATTCCTTTCCATCTAAGCAAGTTAAAGCACACCTGTACATTGACATCTACATTTTTTAAATGAAAGATCTCTCTTTAACAGTCTTAACTGACCTTTCGCCAAAGCTCAAATAGGTTACAACAATATCTCCTCTTCTCTCAAACCATTTCCTGTGGCCTACCAACAAACTCATTTCTAGTAACAAATCATTTATTCACACTTTTAACTATTTCCTCAATTAACTTAAATAAAACTGGATACATTCGCATGCATATATACATATGTATGTATATATATATATACGCTAAGTATATACTCAATCGTCCAAATGCCTTGTCATTATTAGCATTATTGTCGTTGACGCTGTTCGATATCACATGAGGCGGTAAATTCAATTTTGTGGTTTTCCTGCATCACTCAACTGTAAGCGCATATGCGACTAGGCAAGTCGAGCGTAAAGTGAGATATACATACGAACATATGTTACCTACACGTACATACTAGTGGCAAGTGAACGCATCATTTGCCATAAAAAGTGTGCAATTTTTCAATTATTCAGATCGACGTTTTGCATATTCATTGCACAATCAATCGCTGAGTATGTTTGTATGTGCATACATGTACGTATGTAACGAGGCATTACATTGTATTGTATGCAGAGAAATATTGTGGATGTGTGTATGTGTGTGTGTGTGCGCGCAACATTCGAAAAACCTCAAATAGTTAATGAGTTTTTTCTTGCATT